TAGGAGAGAGATCCTGGCTAAAGACGTAAAGAACATTTGCTAAATTCTTCCTTCTCATTGATTTAGGCTGTCTCAACTTGATGAGACATCTCAACGAGAAATGTCTGAGCCCTCCAAGATATTGTGCTGTCGGAAAAAAAAAGTAAGACAAGAAAAGCTGTTCTTTCTTCTCTGCATGTCTGTTCAAAACCAATGTCCTTTGCCTTTGAAAGGTGAAGCACACAGACATACAGCAAGCACAACTACTGCCCAATTGTTAAAAGAGATACATATACTTTCTCTGTACTTCTTATCCTTGGCTATACAACCAAATAGCAACCATCATTAGTTTTCACAATTTGTATTATTTGCATAAAATTCTTATATGCAGTAATTGTGTTATATTGCCTACTTTGTACAAAAAATGCATTCTTGTTCTTTTGTCTGATAGCTTCGCAAAATTCTTCACTGTCTTGTACGGCGAGGAGAATAATTCTGCAGTTTCTTCACCTCATGTGTGAAAATATGACTAGCAGGGATTTTTAACATGTCAAGCCCAGATGGCAAAGCCTGTCAGTCTCCAATTTACCTTCCAATTTGTTGGCCCACTAGATGCTTTTCCTGGCATTACATTTTCCAGAATCCATGACCACTGGCCACAATGGCCGTCTACAACATCTGAAGGGCCAAACGTTGAGAACCATTATGCTAGTTCTGCTGTTGGCTCACTCCTGCTTCTATCCTCCAATATTGGTCTAGATTTAGAATTTTAATTTAGATTCTAGCATTCTCTAGATCCTGTTTTAGATTCCAGCATTCTCTAGATCCTGCACAAAAGTAATTGTTGAAGCAGATTTGACCAACTGGTTATGCAGCTACTGCCTGCTGGCTGCGTGACATGTACCTCACCCATTAGCCAAATCTGCTTTCATGATTACACATGCTATAATTCCCATAGGGCATTGACCCATGACTCTGAATTGATGACTGTTAAAATTGACTATTCTGTGGGAGAGCCCCAACTCTCTCCCTAATTCTGGGTCTTCCAAGCCTTCTCATACTTCAGCTCCCCACTTGCTTTTCTGCTTAGACACCACTGTAGACAAGCAGGCAGCTTGGCGAATAGCAAGTATTTGCTTAACTTAGCAGGACTACAGAAATAGACAATCTTTCTATAGAACCAACATCACTATCCCTGCAGGCTGAGAGCAGTGGTGTCTTTGTGATATCCGAAAGCAAAATCATTTCAACCTATGTTCCTGACTGGAGGCAGACATTCTACTTGCCTCCTGTTATTGTTACTAGTCTCTGTGTCACTCCTTATTCTGTATGCAAAATCTAATAGAAAACCCCACGGAAGGAGGAAGCATTGACACACAACTATCCATTTCAGTTAAGAGTTGGCAGAAGTAGCAACAATAGTGCTGATGTTTGCTTTCATTGAAGTCAGCAGGAAAACTCCATGCAGCATAGCTTAGCACTGCTTCTTCACCCAAACTAGAGAAAGGTCATTGTTGGTCTTTTTATACGACAACACTGGAGGTGTGTGCCTTTATTAAGCATGATGGAGAAGCCATTTTTGGGAGGTGTTTCTATACGCCAGTTTTGAATAAGAAGGTTCAAATTCATTATTTGCTGGATAACTTGAATAAAAACAGTTGTTTTGCATAATATATTGATGGACAAATAAACTAGCTTTCATGCAAGCAGGTCCACCATTGATTCTTTTCCCCCAGGCTCTTCCTATATAAATATTCAAAGGTTAAATGTCAGCATGTGTACACTGCATTTGTAGCTATGCCACTGACTTGTGACCTTTTAAATGAAGAGAAATTACAGTAGATACTCGCTTTACTGAGTAAGGATCAATGATTATATATTAATTAGAGTTATTTATAAGGCCCTGTTATGAGGATAAAACAGAATGCTAGACCCGATAAATTCTTCTGGTACTATTAGAATACTTCGAACATCAGCTGCACCATTTCACTTGTATGTGCATGCACAGTACACCCTAAGTATTGTTGTTTCACAGATGTTATTTTTGGAAAATCAGGGATACAGCAATCTTTTTCTCCATATACATTGATGACACCATCCTTATTATTACCATGTAAACAGAATGGTGCCAACTGCCTCATATAATCACATCTTTCTGTTCTTGCTATTGACTCAAAATTAATAATCAGAAAACAAAAAAAACTATGATGTGTTGCTATGTTCTAAGCACAAATTCCAAACAACAAGAATGTTTTGTGGAATTTTCTTTCATAGGCTATTGGATGTGCCAAGTGGTTTGTATTGAATGTTCAACAAGACAAGACATTCCCAGTTTTCCTGAACAAATGTTTTGTCAGTGAAAACAATGTTTACAGCTTCTGAATTTCTCAAATGATCAGTATTTTGAACAATTTTTTAAAATGACTCTTCTTAGAATCTTAGAACTGCAACATTGGAAGGGATCCTATGGATCATCTAGTCTAGCCCCTGTCAAGGAGGCACTGTGAGGAATCAAACTCCTGACCTCTGGCTCCGCTGAGCTATCCATCAGTGTTTTGGTGACAGTTTTTATTCAAGCCATATTTCTGAGATGCAGATGATCTGAGACATACTATCCAACTGATCCTCCATTATTATAGATTTAAGCTTATTGTATTGGAGGGTTCTGACTTAAAAGGTTTTAGGGAAATTGACAGTTTGCACCAAAAACACAAATCCTGCAAATTTGAAAAAAAGAAGTCTATCTGCAGGATTGGTTCAGTGAAACAAAGAACATAGGTTTTGCACAGAAATATTTTCATTTCCAAAGCGGAACACAAACTTTCCCAAAGTATTTTGCAATTTATAATACATAATTTGTCTTAATATTCCAGGGCAAATCATAATTTCCCTGTTATTGTCAAACAAACAGGAAATACTTTAAGAGGATTCCTCAAGAAATAAAGCAAACAAAACACGACTTCAAAACATCCCATTCCCAAATTCCTATCTAACAAGATTCCCGGTCCAGCTCAGATGAAAACCACAAATAAAAAAAAATTTAAATGTTGTTTCTAATTTTAACAATGAGTTTCTTCACATTTTCTACCTAAATATGATGTCTAGCTACTGTCCAAATGAGACATTCTTCATCCCCTTCTAAAATGCTTTATTTAAAAAGCTACACTTGGGAGAGGTTCCATATCCACAATCAACACTTCCTAACTGCAGGATCAAGTGACGTGCATGAGCGAAACAACCTTCACAAGTTCAAGGTGGCAAAATTTACTTCCCTATTATCTGAGAACATCCTGAACATATTGTTCAGTATCTTATTCCTAAAACATGGAGCCAAGAGGGAAGCACATATATAGTATATGTTCCTCCTGCTCCGGCAGTCCTCTTTACATGCCTGGTCTTCTATGGGTTGCAAGACGGGCTGTACCTGTCTCCTGATACCCCTCCCCTGCATCTAGCATTTTGAAATACCTTCCTTTTAAGCCTGGAGATTACATCCCCATTGCGATGGACTTTTCCTCTTGAAATCTGTCCATTTCCCCTTTAAAGGCATCTAGGACAGATGGCATCATCACATCCGGTGGCAAGGAGTTCCACAGACTAACAACATACTGGGTAAAGAATGCATCTCCCGTTTACTTTGAGTAACACCTTCAATGAACATCTCTCTGTCCATGTGGATGCAAGGCAGCCTCCACTAAGTGCCCAGAGTGCAGTTTGAACTGCAAGCTGCCCCTACCATTAAAAGAAATCCAAGTAGTAGGTCAAATAGAAAATGGCAGCAAATGGCCAGCTCTTTACTTTGTTACCAACCGTATTTCTTTGGGTTGGGTTGGGAGGACACATATGGGGTTTTCTGCCCCAGGTACCAAAATAACATGGCCAGTTTGAGGTCCACAACAGGCTGTCTTGGGTAAATTGGGGGACACGTTCATAGCTGCTTTGCCTCAGGTACTAAAATGGTTTAGGTTGGCCCAACTGGAACATATACAGTACAGTACTTCTAATGTGCTGTGAAGGGATATCCTGCCCCAAGAGCTTTTTCCATTACCACAGGTTAATTGATTTTGCAGGACATTGTTCATGCCCCTCCCTCCTCCCTAACTCTCCCTTTGTATGTGTCTGGAGCAGCTTCTCTGTGAATGAGACAGAATGACAGAGAGAGAGGGAGGGAGGGAGGGAGGGAGACCTCCGTCTTTCTCCACAGCCCCCTTAGCTGTGCTCGATGCATCGCTTGCCAAAATACCTGTTAAAACTCCACGCCCTCTAGACACCAGCCAGAGGGCAAAATATGTCACTGTTTAGAGCCTTGTCAGGATGCGGTCTGGTTCTCTCTAGCCTGACAGGTGATGATGCTCTTACAACCGAGGTCGATAAGAAGACGACGCTGGTATTTTTGGAAGTGGCCAGCCGTGGGTTTCAAAGCCTCCTTCAACACGTTCAGAGCCAATACGCTTCTCCCGAAATAGGAGAAAGAGGGTTCCCAGTCTTTACCCAGTTTTGGGGGGAAAACCAATGGGTCGATGTCTCCGTTTCGAGGTTCCTCGCCCCTACACGTTTACTCGGGAGTAAACTTCGTGGAACTCTACAGCACTTGCCGCCGAGCAAACATTTCTACCTGAAGGGCTTTCCCCGTTCCAGTTTCCCATTACCATGCACGTTGCGATCCTGTCTAGGCTTACCTAGGAGTAAGATGGCTTAATGGTCGGAGTGGGCACGGGCGAAGGCTGCCCTGTTCCTGGGCAGGGAGTTCCAAGGAGGCTTACTCCCAAGTAACCCGCTATTGCCCAGGGGCACCGCGGCCGCACGTTGGCTCCGCTGCCTGGAGAAAGGCTAAGGAAATGGCCAGCTGTTCCGCCGGACAAATTCCGGGCGCTGACAACGTTTTCGAGCCCAGCGCTTTTGCAATCCATAAAAAATGGACTCTGCTGGAAAATTGGGGAGGGGGAAGAAGAGGGAAGAGGGAGGGGAGGGCTGGATCCAGCACGAGGGAAAAGGAGGCGTCCAACGGCGGCGTTACTAACCTGCTCGAGTGTGCGGTTCCGCCCGGCTTTCTCGAAGGAAGGATCGCGCCCGACGCCGACCAGCCAGCCAGCCACCGCTCCGCTCCGCTCCCCTGCCCTGCCGGACTCCACAGGCACCGCCGGGAGCCCGGACCGCGGCTCTCGCTCCAAGCCGCCCCTGCCAAGAGTCGGAGGGGCGCGGCGGAGCGGTTGGCCGTTCCTGGGGAGAGGCGAGGCCGCCGCCGTCCAATCAGCAGCCGGCTCCAGCTCTTATTCCCAACCTATGCCCTGCTGCTGCTGCCTCTCCCGGGCAGCGATCGCCTCGGTTCCAATCTGGGAACCCAGCGGATGAGCTCTCGGTTGTTGGTTTGCGGGGGCCAAGCTTTTGCGTTTCGATCCATTTGGGATCTCTTGCTGCAGAGTGGCCCCTTCCCGTCCCAACTCCAGCCCATAAAAAAAGCATGGCAACCGCCGCATAACGCTTCCTGCAATTGATGGGGCTGGGATATGATGATGATGATGACGGCGGCGGCGATTGTAGCCCAGTGGTCTAGTGGTCAGTTTGGAAGCGCGGAGGCTCCGTTGTGACAGACAGCCCCGACCACAGTTAGAAAAGTAAATTTTAAAAAAAATGCAGGCAGTTGGAGATGTACCTGTCAACAAAAGAATAGCAGGTCTTTTAGAATGCTCATGGCTCTTAATTGCCCATTCAAGTCTAAACTCCTCTGGAATGCTTTGTAATGCAACAGGAACAACTTCCAAAAATATACTGGCCCTGAGAAGATCCATTTCTTTCACACATCCTGTAAGGATTGCAGGCTATAGTTGTTTGGTGAGATAAGCTCACAAATATGAAGTCACCACAGAAAAGGCACAGTAAGAATAATCTATCTACCATTCTGACTGCTCTTGATGGCAGGCTCAGAAAACAGAGTCTGTGAAGTATGGGTTATTGTTTGGAAACATTGTCTTTTATGTACCCCAGCTAGTCAGGGGATGGTGGGAGCTGTAGTCAATTGTCTTTTATGTACCCCAGCTAGTCAGGCACATCCAGCCAGTCCTTCATTCCAACTGGTCTCAAATAGCATAATGCTTTAAAAGTTCAAAAAAATGGCACTTTAAATCACTTCAGCTGTAGTCAACACACACACACAGAGAGAGAGACACAGACACATATCCAGCCAGTTCTTCATTCCAACTGGTCTCAAACAGCATAATGCTTTAAAAGTTCAAAAAATGGCACTTTAAATCACTTTCTGTAAGGAAGCACAGTCTGCTCCTGCTCAGAGGGCCACATCAGGCCTACTGGCCATGCCGCTCAGGGTATTCTGGGAAGTGTAGCATGGAAACCAGTGCTGATCTTGTGCAGGGCAACATTTAATGCCCCATTTCCAATGCAGGTGCTGGTAACATACACTGTGAAAGGGTCTTGCATGAGACACAACATTCACAGAAAGCATGAATGACATTTCTCCTGTGCACACAGGCTTCTCAATGGAGACCAAATCCAGCCTTCCAGTTACCCAGTGATAAGTGGTAGTCTTTCTCAAGACTAGCCATTTCAATCTAGCCATTCTTTCTGTTAAATTCAGTTTTTCCCTGCTGGAGTATCTTCCTGAGATACAAAATTTTTAACAAGAGATATCCAGAATAGCTGACAATTCATTACCCTATATGTCATATATATTATATTAGCAAATTCATCTTTAAAAAGGTAGGCTCCGTCACTTCCTTACATACATATCTGTGCAAAATATTAAATGTTGTGCTGCATCAGTCAATTATTATTTAACATTTTTCTAATCATGTGCAAAATGTATTACCAGTCAACCTTTGTGCCTGAAAGGACTTCCCAAGATCACCTTGTGCATGTGGCTTTCCTAAGTTCAGCAAAGGAATTTGTAGTAAGTTAACTGATCCTTGTTGTGTCTCATTTCCGCACGTGAAGCCAGCAGTCATGTATGCAACTTATTCAGCAGTGGGCTCCATTAAAACAAGGGGATCGCCATCTGAGCATCACATGATGTTTTAAAGGGGTTTTCTGTGATTATTCCATTCTTCCCGTCACAAATTGTTTTCTTCCAATTGTCTTGCAAATTAAGCCTGTGTTTGTTTAGCTTCAAATGACCAATCACAAAACAAAACATTCTTGAATGGAATTTATGGAGGTGAGAAAAACTCATGCTATTACAACCATACATCTTTTATCACTGAAGGAAACCCTGCTAAGTGTATTGTCTTGTTTCACCCTCAGTAACCATGCACAGGAGAACTGCACTATGCCTAAGAGATAAATGAAGGAGACTCAACTGATACCAACTTTGGGTCAGATCTTTACCCCTAGATCCTAGTCCAGCTGTAGGCAGTCAGAGCTAAGTGCCTGGAATGGATCCTTTGCCATCATTTATACTAGTAAGCCGCACCAGAGTAAGAGAAACTGCTGTATCAGTATTCCATTCCTGCCTATTAGGCAAAAAGAAAACAAAAATGAAAAATAAATAAAAATGTTGTGGCACCTTAAAGACTAACGGCTATATTTCAATGTGAGCTTTTGTGCACAAGTCCACTTCTTCAGACACTTGCCTGTGGCTACGTGTTTTAATGGAACTCAAAGGACAGTGATGCAACAATCCAATCTTTTTCTGTGTAGCTTCTGGCAGTAACACTGATAAGGCTGTGTGGGCATTAACTTTTCCACCTCAACATCCTGAATAATACCAAAAAAATAATAATTATGCTATCCTGCACAAAGTTCTTGTCTTAAAAAGAAGTGTCTTTTTCTGTGTAGCTTCTGGCAGTAACAGTGATAAAGCTGTGTGGGCATTAACCTTTCCACCTCAACATCCTGAATAATACAAAAAAGCACAAAGCTCTTGTCTTTAAAAAAAAAGAAGTGAAAACGGAGCCTTGTGGCACAGTGGTTAAACTGCTGTAATGCACCCAAACTCTGCTCATATCTCAGGGTTGAATCCTAGGTAACTGGCTAAAGGTTCAGTCAGCCTTCCATCCTTCTGAGGTCAGTAAAATGAGGACCCAGCTCACTGTGGGGGCAATGTGTAGCCTGCATAATTAACTTGTAAACCACCCAAAGAGTGCTTTAAGCACTATGGGGTGGTATATAAACAGCATGCTTTGCTTTTTTGCTTTGCTTTTGAATTATGCTGCTACACACTTGACGGCATATACCCCAGACTCCTTGGTTAACTGTGGGGGCCTGCCAAAGACCCACTGTCCTTCACACTTTATCTATGGGCAGACAAGACCATCACTGTGATACTGGTGGAGCTGTTGCAAACACTATTGCTAGGGAAAGCTTGAAAAGGCTCTTGGTTTGAATGAGCAGAATCTTGGTTGCTTCTTCTATTCATGCAAGAGTTGGTTGCTTGGAGGATTAGACCGTTTTCAAGCTTTCACAAGAAAGTTATCTAGGAATTGCAGAAACTGCTCAGTTCTTCCCAAGCAGACCATTGTACCAGTGGAAAGAAAGGATAGGATTTTACCCCATGATTCCAGGTGGACACAAGTTTGCTTTCCTTTACCTATTTAGAACTGCAGAGCTGGAAGATGCCTTATGGATCATCGAGACCAGCTTCTCCCTGTTAAGGAGGCACAGTGGGGAATTGAACTCCCAACCTCTACCTTCTGAAATAGTGAAAAATTGTGAAATAGTGGCCAGAGTCCTGTTGGTGATTTATGCTGATCACATTGCTGATTGCACAATCAGGCACATGACTTGTAATGCCATTGGCGCCTTGTTAGTTAACAGTGAGTTATGCAGTTTAAATTATGCACATCTAATTATCAAACAGGGTTCTGGCTAGTGTCAAGTAGTAAAGGGAAAACTGCTTAAAAGTCTGGAACCTCTGGACTGTGTGGAATCCACAGTGAGCTTTGCAACATTTCTGCAGTTGAACTACATTATTTCATCAAAAAATATTGTAAGACTAGTAACGCCCACCCCAATCTAAATACTTAAAAGGATGGCCCTCCACATGATGACAGCTAGGAGAAATTCACCACAAATAGCAGGGGGAAGTAAGTAGCATAAGAGAAGGAGGAGCAATTGTAATTTGAATACCTTTTTACCCATGTATATGCTTGTCCATCTGTGTGGACACATACACACACTCATATTAGATATCCTCTGAAAGGCCAGCTGCCACTTTTTCTTATTCTTCTGAAGCTAACCTTTTTGTATCTCAGCATCCTTTGGCCTTAAGGGAGAAAAAGACAAATATCTCTAACTTGATCACAAAATAGAACAGTATAGTTGCATAAAATACAGACTTATCAATGTTGGCATTAAAAAAAGAGAGAAGAAGATACAATCAAATTAAGGTCTCCAGAGAGTATACTAGCAGAAACCTAGCCCAGGAATTATGTAGGCTGCTTCCCCTCATGAGATGAATGTCTTCTCTCAAGCCTACCCAGTAATATAGTTTGTGTCACCAGCTCAGAGAATGCAGGAATTATAAATATTTTTACCTCTTCTTCTGATTGCATGGTACTCTTGGCTCAAGAGGACTCTGAATTTGCACTCAGCCACAGAGTCTTAAAATCCCCCTGTACTGTATTTAGTAACACTAACACGAACAGCAGCAGCAGCAACAACATAGAGGGAAGAATTTTGATACTGAATTTTCCCTGCTGTGGGACACAAGCTCATAAAGAAAGTACAGAGGCAGTCTCAGTAGACTGCCAATAGCCCATGCAAGCTGCCAGAGCAGCACTAATTGTTTTGGATAAGGTTCTCCTGATTTTCAGTTCGACCTGCTTTAACATGATCTTTGTAGTGCTGAATGAACAGCTCCTGCTCTGTGCTTTCCCAGTTCCCATTGGCACCCAATCTTTACTAATCCATCATTCATTTATGACAGAATGCCTGAGAATCAACAGACACAATCATTTTCAGTTAACACTGTATGATCTAACAAACCATAGTAGTTTGCATATCGTCTAGATATATTCGTCCACTATGATGGGTGCTCAAAGTGAGTGATGTTTATTTCAATAAATGTTGTCTCAGGCCAACATGAGTGATTCCAAAGAGGTTTGGAGCGCATTATGCAGCTCATATTCTTTTCATATCCTTTCCCTTTGTTCTTTCTGACTAACAAGGAAATCCATGAAATACATGACTGGCTGTTTTGATCAGTATGCAGGTTAGTTGTGTTTATCTTCCACCAGCATTTCAGTAT